ATCGCCGCGGCAACAGTTCTGTACACCGGCCTGCTGCGGCTACACACACACACACACACACACACACACACACAGACATTGTTAACAGCAGATCCTCAGTTGATAGAAAGGTAGAGAAACAGAAGAGCAGGCAGGAACGAAACCAGACCTCAGCAGAGGAGTGAAGATAACGTCGGAGGCCTCCAAATCCATGATGTCGTCATCAAAATCGTCATCGTCGTCATCATCTTCATCCCCGGTCCGGACCAGGCTCCGCCCAAGACGGCGAGCTTCTCTCTCCAGCTGACGAGTGACAGTCAGCTGACTGACAGGAGAGAGAGAGAGCAGTGTGTTCTTTGTTGTTCTATCAGGAAGCAGATCCATTGTGTGTAACTTCTCACCTCTCAGGGTCACTGAATCCGTCGTTCCTGATGACCACAGCGGATCTGAAGATGAAGGAAGAGGAAAGAATTTCAGTCTGCTCAGATCCAAACGTCTCAAACACATCAACTGCAGAACGGCTCACTGTGGCTTCAAGGCTTGGTTGACAGTTTGTAGTTAAATTAAGACAAAACTCCTTCACAAAGTCACACTTTCATTGCATTGCGGTGAATAGCAAACAAACAGTTTTTGTGCCTTTCTAGATCACCAAGGACTCAAAGCACTTTCACCCTGCGTGTCGTTCACTCATTCATCAGCAGGTTGTCCTACAGTTGTGTGGACGTGATGTCTTACTCATCATTGTCTTCCACCTCCAGGAAGTCGAGCCCCTCCCAGCTGCCCGCTGTTCCCTCCACTGGATGATATCGAATGTCCAACTCGATATAAATCTACAGAGAGAGAAACCACCCGAGTCTTAAACATGTGTGTGTGTGTGTGTGTGTGTGTGTGTGTGTGTGTGTGGGTGTGTGTGTGTGCTTACGTCAGTCAGGCTGTAGTTGGCATCAGTGAGCGGTTCCCGTAGCAACAGCCTCCCAGCTGTAACGACGTGCTGGAGGCTGACGACCAGTTTACCGAGGAGTCTACACACACAGACACATACCTTTTTGTCTGTGTTTGTCAAAGACAACAATACGTGAATGTGTGTGTGTGTGTGTGTGTGTGTTACCTGTTGGAGAAGACTTTACTGCAGTTGTAAACACTGACGGACAAAACTTCATCTCTGATCACTTTACCGTAGTGAGGCCACCGGAAATGCTGTGCACACACAGACACAGAGCTCTCTCAAATCTGGACCTTTCCCACATATTATCTTACTCAATATCAGGCAAACTGCTTCCATCGCAAAGATTATTCACCAAGCGCTACAGTCAGGTGAGGCACGCACACACACACACACACACACACACACACACACACACACACACACACACACACACACGGTCACACCTGAAGAACAAATACAAGCTTCACTCAGAGCTGCACAAAATAACTCAACTCAGAACTAACTACGTCACACAGACGTTCCTGTAAAAAACAAACCCTCCACCTGAGGTGTCCACAGCGATCACGTCAACACACGGGTGGTGGTGTGGGTGCAGTGGGTGGTGCTTCTGTTTGACCAACCTGTTCCCACTTTGTAAATTCACACAGCGGAATGAAGTTTATTTTCCAGAAAGTCTACAGTGAACGTCTGTTATGATTAATACGTGACTAACACGTGATTAACACGTGATTAACATGTGATTAACACGTGATTAACACGTGATTAACATGTGATTAACACGCGTCTTGTTCGGTTTCGTTTTGTCCAGCTACAGTTCAAGCTTAATTATCAATCATCAATTATTATAACAGATGGACGGTGTGGCTGCTGTAAACTCTGGTTCACCGGCTCTCTTCATTAATTGATCGAGTCGTTTCCGATCGATAAAAGTTACATTGTTATAATCCTGCTAATTCAAGAGGATTCTTTCTTTTTTTGCAGTTGTTTATTCCCCCCGGGGGCCCCGAGGGGAACAGGAGAGTTCAGTAGAATAAAATAGAATCACATCTGTAGGTGTGTGTGTGTTGAAGGAGCGGCTGTGTGTGTGTGTGTGTGTGTGTGTGTGTACTGTAGGAGTGGTACAGCTTCCTATCAGCTCCATTAAAATAGTTTCAATCTAAAGCAGACAAACACCTGAAGCTACCTGTTGTAACACACACACACACACACACACGCGCACACACACACACACACAGGACCGATACGAGGGAGGTCACGTGATCTGAAATCTCAGCTGACATCATGGCGCTGGTTACTGACCTCGTTGAAGATGGCCAAGTTCTCGCACTGCAGAACTCTGGTTTTGTGGGTGAAACCTGGAGGAGACAGACAGGTAACCATAGCAACGGCACGGACGCAAACCGGGCGGGAAACTCCCCCGAACAAATAATAAAATAGAAATGAATCTGAATCTAAATCCAAAGTACAGAAGTAAAGTACAGGTACATTATAAACGTACTTAAATACAGATTCAAAAAAACAATTCTTATTGTTGTAGTTTTAATCGATGACGGGTAAAAGCGTTGTACTCTGTAGTACTTATTTATGGCGCATGTTTATGTTCGTTTATGAAGTGAGATTGAGCTTGTTTGTTCAACATGTTGGGTTAATATTTACTGTTGTGTGTTTAATTGTGTCTTGTTTAACTGTCTTGTATTAATCTGTGAATGTATAAAATCCAAAGAAATGTTAATCTGTTAATCAATTATTTTGAGATTACATGTTGCTGATTTCTATTCTTCTGATTGTTTCTTCTGATGGAAAATCTACAAATGGAAACGTTTGAATTGTGTTCAAAAAGTATGTATTTTTATAGCATATCCTTTGTTTGATTGGTGAGCTGCAGACGAGGGACATTTACCCTGAAGAAAGTTAAATAATCACTTTACCAAACTTTATCGTGGTATTTGTACCTGGTGCGAGTAGCTCCTGAATATGGTTTCAGCTTTAGTATCACACACAGTAACAAGTAAATGTAGTGCATTTAAAATGCCACAAAGTTTAAAGTAGTATTAAATGTAAATACTCAAGTACTGAAGTGCAATACTTCTAATAGTAAATGTACTTTTTACAAACGTGTGTGTGAGTTACTGACCTCTGAAGCACAGTTCCACCTTTCTGTCGTGTCGACCCGGCAGGTTGGAGATCCTCCTCAGATTCACACTGATGGACATGATGATCCTGACAACTGTGTGTTCACCTGTTCACCTGTCTACCTGTCCACCTCTTCACCTGTTCTCCTGTCTACCTGTATACCTCTGCACCTGTCTACCTGTTCACCTGTTCACCTGTCTACCTGTCCACCTTTTCACCTGTCTACCTGTCCACCTCTTCACCTGTTCACCTGTCTACCTGTTCACCTGGTCACCTGTCTACCTGTCTTACTCTTCACCTATCCACATGTCTACCTGTTGACCTGTCAATCTGTCTACCCGTCGACATTGTGTCTCTCTGAAGTCGTCTCATCTGCTCTGTCTTCAACGGTTGGAAACTAACTGCTGCGTGATGGGAGGTGTGTGTGTGTGTGTCTTTGTGTGCGTGCGTGCGTGTGTGTGTGTGTGTGTGTTAGGGCAGGTCCTCTCTAATATTTGAGAAAGCAAATAGAGTTGCTCTACTAGTTTCCTCCTTATAAAACACACACACACACACACACACACACCAGAAGAAGCATTATTCTAAAACAATGTACGAATTGCTTTATTACAAGTAGAAGAGTTAGAAAATAAAACCACTGAATAAAAAGTGCATCTTATCTCCATGAAGTCTGACTCTTGTTTTCATTACCAGCTGTTTCTCTGAGACGTTAAGAAGAAGAAAACAAAGGAAAGTAAAACAAGTTCATCGTTCTGCTTAAAGTTGTTTATGTAAAATGTTTATTGGCGGTCAGTTTGAATGTTTCCAGCCGCACCAGAAAATAAAATGTGACCCAGGAACAACGACACACATCTGCTGGATCTGCTCAGCTGGAGGAGGAAAACTGTTAAATATATTAGCTTGAAACATAGGGATTAATTTCTAATGTGACACAATGAGCATCTTAATGTAGTACAGTTGAGGAAGAAACATCATTTACTGAAGGAAAAGAGCATCAATAAAACAATGTAACAAAGTATATGAAGTATATGAAGTAAAAGTACTATGAAGTATTGTAGAAGCACAGAAGAATAAAAACCACTGTGCTTAGTATTAAAGTAACAGTTGGGGTTTATTTGCTAATCTATAACGGACATTGTGTGTAAGCAACGTTTTACCGACGGCCACGTGCAGCTACCTTTGAGAGAATGAGAGAAATTTGTACAAATCCTTTGGGTCTTTGTTTGGGTAATTAACAGATTTACTTTTTTTCTATTTGAGCCTCAGTTTGTCAGCTAAAATAATCTGAAAAACTACAAATTATAATTTTATTGTAGTGTTAATGTAACAAACTAAATGCAGTGATGTAACATAATACTCACCTGAGAGGAAGTGGGGTAGATGTAAAAAGTTTAATGGATTTAAATTATAGTCAAACAAAAAAAAACATGCAGTCAGTCAAAATAAATTATAGGAAAAAAAATAAAAGTGCAATGACCCAATGAAACACATTTTTAGTTGTTTACCAGAGTTTTTTTATTATTATATTTTCGAACAAGTACATTCATACGGACACGATGTTCCTGGTTATAATGGTTTAGTTACACTGGTTAATAGCAGTTAGTTACTGAAGATGAGGATTAATCAGTTTAACAAACTTTTAAGAAAGTAAAGAGTTGTTTGACAGTGAACAAGGCAGCACTGTGGAGCAAAGCATTATGGGAGTGGTAGTCCTTTAACTTTGTAGACATTTAGGCAACATTTCTCTCTCCCTGATGACATCACAGCACCATGTGACCAGTCAGTTTCTACCATTTGAATACTTGTGAATTCATAACTTCCTATCAACTAGAAAAACAGACATAAAACTGGTTCTTGGCAACAAAAAAAGAAGAAGGACATCATGGCAGCCTGAGCGGGATAAACACAAATCTACAGAAGAAAAACAAACAAAAAGCACATGTGAAGTTGTGGTCCGTTTATTTAGCTTCATATCGATCTGCAAAGAAAAGAGCTGTTTCTGGGTGAAAAGGGTCATTTATCACTTTGTTTTACATTTATGGATACTTTTACCTCTCAAACGGGTTCATATGACAAAACATTTTTCTGAAGAACTTTCAAACAGTCTGAAGCAGCACGGATACACAAAACACCGCTCCGACTAAAATTACACCACCGATGCGTTTGGCAAAATCATCTTCACTCACTTTAATTTACTGGCCATTATTTAGCATTTTTAAAAGGTTATTCTGTTCCCAAACATAATACAAAGATTTTACCCGTAATAAAATGGACCCTGAAAAGTAACATCCACTTAAGATCATTCTGAAGGGTTGGCAATATCTCTTTAATAGGCAATGTAACAAACTGTGGCTCTGCTGCAGTGAACATCGTGTGACACATTGACAATAATCTCGCGTGTTTTCATTCCAGCATTCAGAAGACAATCATTGAAAAAATAAAGCAGACGTTCAGACAGTCTCTGCGTGATGCTCAGGTGATGTGGGATGGAGCGTTGCCACGGTTACCCCTTCCAAATGTTTACCTCAAAACCCGGGACTTCATCCGACGGCTGAATGCTAGTTGAATCAGACGGACACGACAGCGGTTCACCGACGGCGACCTGCCTGTAATACTGTGGGGGGGTCGAGTTGGGTGCTTGGGTCAGTCCCATCTTACGAACCGCAGGCGGCAGAGCTGCGTTCAGCGCAGGGAGACAAGATGACGGAAGCAACAAACCACTGAGAGTCGTGACAGAACGGCTTGCGGAGGCTGCACTAAAAACTACTTTAGGCTGGAGTAAAGTTAAGGCGACAGTGAAGCTTCATGTTAAGGCAAAAGTGTTAAAGCTATGATAAAGTAGAGTATATCATATCAATCATGACACGATATTCAAGGGTTTAGTGCAAGAGCAAAGTGCTAAGTATCGATACCTGATCATTAAAGCTACTCAGAGCCACACACACACACACACACACACAACTAGCGCATTGTGTTGCCATGGTAACGTGGACCGTTTACGGGGCGTTACGTGCGGCTGCAGTTCCTCTCATGTCCACTAGAGGTTGCTGGGATAAGACCGCAGACCCCAATGTGTCTACGCCCACAAAGCTACGCTCTGACGATATCATAGGCCTGTATGTTACTATGGCAACGGTAAAAGACCGAATGTGGAGCAAAAGATGACCACTTGTGTGTGTGTGTGTGTGTGTGGCTCTGTGATTATTAAACACATGTTAGCAATAACATGTGATCTGCATAGTTAGTGTGCAAGCAGCAGAAGGAATCTATTAGAAGGATCTAGACTACATTACGATCATCCCTCTCATTGAAGAAAATTATACGAAAACAAAATTATTATCAAACCGATTTATAAAAAAAAAAACTATCTAGGGAAGGTTGGCATTCTGGTTGGCTGACATCTAAATGCCGGATTGTGATTGGCTGATTGTAGGAACACACCAGGTTGGTCCCCTGAAGCGTGGTCGACTTTGCGAGTGGTCTGATCCTGGGGGGTGGCCTTCAACTTTAAGGGCGGGGTTTAGGGAGTGCAGCGGGTGGAGGGTTTAGGATTTGGGTGCAGCTGTAGCTGGTTTAGGCGGGTCGAGGCCTCTCATCTTGAAATAAGAGACCAGCTGGTTGGGAACCTCGGCGAGGACCGACTTCGCCAGAGCCGCCTGAGGAGCCTGGAGAGATGAGATGAAAGAGCCCATCAGGAGATCTCACATTGTTATCTCAGTACCACCGCCAATTAGACTCGGTGAAAGAGTGCAGCACGGAACACACAGGAACTCATTCGAATTTGTGGACAACAAATCTCAGACTTACATCTTTGAACTGCCTGAACGGGACAAACTGGACGATGTCTCTGGCGACGGCCTCCCCCACCGTCGACCTCAGGACGCCGTCGTCTCCGTCCAGAAGCTCCATGGCCTTGAAGTCCGCCGGCCCGACCCCCACGATGATGACCGACAGCGGCAGCCTCGAGGCCCGGACGATGGCGTCCCGGGTCTGATCAAAGTCGGTGATCTCGCCGTCAGTGAGGATGAGGAGGACGAAGTATTGCTGCAGAGGGATGCAGAAAGGAGTGAGGAGGTGTGTTGTGTTGCTTTACACTGCGTGTGTGTGTGTGTGTGTGTGCGCGTGTGTCCTCACAGAGGCGCTGTTGCTCTGCGCGGCCTGGGCGGCGATGGAGGCGACGTGATTGATGATGGGAGAGAAGTTTGTGGGCCCAGAGAGTCTCAGCTGAGGCATCACCATCCTGTAGGCCTCAACGATCCCCTCGATACCTGCGAGAGAGCGGCGGCGTCATTCAGGGCGTCTCACTGCCCTCCGCCCCGAGACCCTTTGGGCTAAAATACTGAATTTAATTTTAATAAGCAAATAAAGTAGAAAAACTAGCTCTTGTCATTTTTAACAATAGTTATACATCAGTACTGGTGACATTTATAACATCATATACGATCTCCTTTTTTAAAGAAGACTACTTTTACTGAAGTAGTAGTACCTTTGCAGTAGGGGTTAGTGGGGTTGAAGTTGAGGGCGAACTCGTGGTTTGCAGCCTGAAGGAACAACGACACAACGGTTCAATAAACAACAATCTACAAGCTCAAGGCGACAAAACTCAGTCCGTCAGTTCAACTGTCGGTAATTTCATTAAACCGAATCACAAAATCAGGAAATGATTCCACATCCAGAAACTAACTCATGGCGGGAAACTGTTGGTGGTTGTCACACTGTAGAGACCCGCAGGGCCTCCGGACTGCTGTGCTGTGATCGGTTGGTCAGAGAGCTCACCTGGAAGTCTGGAGGCAGTTTGGCCCCAAATCCGAAAGCTGGGAAAAGTTTATCCCTGAAAGAGGAAACAGTTACAGTCACAACAACAAAGGCTCCTGGTCGAGGGGGGGGGGGGGGGGTTTAGGGTGAGTGACGCGAGTGGGTACTAACGTGTCGTAGTCCTGCACCACGTGACCCACCGACCACAGAGCCGACAGGTACTGGTTCAACCCGTCTGGACTCATGTAGTGGAGAGAGTTGGGCGAGCGAGGGTCTCCATTCGAGCCGGTGAAGTCGATCGCCACCTACGAAAATTCGTTAATTCAGTATTAACATGCAAAACCGTTTGTGTGCCTCATTTAACAACACATCTGCATGCATCTCTGTTCACAACGATCCCAAAATGAATCACCTCGTTAACACAAAGCGCTGCAATCTGGGGTTTTATTTCAATCCTCAACTTGAATGTGAAATAAAGCATTCAAAGCGCGTTCGTGTTCATTGATGTGGACCTACGGTGAAGTTGATCTGGCAGCCGCCCATCACGTAGTCCAGGAAGGAGAACTGGGTCAACAGCTGCAAACACACACACAGTGGGAGCAGGACCGATGGGTACATTATAAAAACGCACGTTCAACGGAAATCACACACGTAAAGCGGATCAAAGTAGACCTCAAGCGTAAAAGCAGACACACAACATGAGTAGCTGTGGCACCAAATGCCACTAAAAGACACTCTGCTCCTTACTGACAACAGGCGCTACTCAACAGCTGTGAGGTTTATAAAGAAGAGACTTCTGGGTAACGTGGACTCTACCTGGCAGCTCTTCACAGAGACGACTCCGGAGTTCTTGTAGCTCTTCTTTTTCTTCTGTTTCTCCGGGTGGATGCAGTCAAACGATACCTGGAGGACAGCACACCGGACCGTTTAATGGCCTCCGGCCGGCCGATAGAAAACGCGTCAAATGGTTAATCGTCATTCAGCTCACCGCCGCCCCGCCGGCAGCTTTCTGCAGCTCCGACACGTTGGTGGTGAAAGAACCGATCAGATCGTGAGTTCCATCACTGTCGTAATCCGAGCAATCCACCTGCACGGGGAGGAGGGCGTGTTAGAGGCGGCGGTTACTGATGGCGGGAAGCGATTGCTGGGTTTGAATTGAGGTGGATTCTGATCGGCCGAAACCTTCAGCGGTCTGTCGACGTCGCTGCTGCAGAACGTCTGCAGGGGAACAGAGAACTTCTTCCAAGTGGGACTCAGGTTGTTCTTCACAACCTACACACACAAAAAAACCACCATGATGCTCACAACCATCCTAATCACAATGACATCGTACTCTGTGTGTATGGGCGCTCTTCAATTAGATCAATTACAGTTTGAGACCACCAAAGCACAATGATTTCTCTATAACACAAAATATTCTTAAAGACTAAATTAGCAACAATAGCTCGGAGAAGGTAGTACAAACCACTGTGTGTGTGTGTGTGTGTGTGTGTGTGTGTGTGTGTGTACCTCCGTTCTGTGGACCAGCTGCCACTTTCCATCGTCTCCTTTTTTGAAAATCTCGAGGAACGGATCCGATTTTCCAAACGTATCCTGAACAGAGAAAAGACGCCGTGCCACCGTCTCGTTCACCGTGTTTATGTGTTCTTAAGCCGTCGGCTCATTGGACGGGACAAACAGAGCTAAGGAAGGCCTTTAAAAACAAACTTAGTGGAGGAAGACGGAAGATGAAGAGCAAACGAACAGGTGAGACGGTAAAGAGAGGTGGAGGAAAGTTACCTTCTTGTCCAGGTTTTTAGCCTCAAACTCCAACTGAATGGCTCTGTTGTCCTTTACCTCCTCTGCTGTAATCTACACACACTTAACAGTCAGGTATCTGACAATGATATTATCCACATGCAATATATGACATTTATAATGATAATCTGGTGACATAAAAAAAGTGGTTTAAGAAGAAAATCCTTTTCGCACACAAACACAAACACACCGTAATGCTTCCTTTCCCGGCAGGTTTGCCTTTCTTCAGCTGGAGCGGTCTAGTCAACGTTTTACTGGAAACAATCTGAAAAGAATTCGGTCTTTGTATGAGAACTGTTTTCACGACGGCAAAGCACTCTGGATAAAAAACAGTTTGTCCAGCAGGGGGCGCTGCGAAAAGGTGTACGGGAAATGATTTTTCTCTTGATCACAACAGTTGTTGAGACAGTATTTATGGACCGATTGACAGATTCAGAGTATCCAGATGGGCTGTTCTGTTTGTATCACTTACAGAATATTAGTGTCCATTCAGAGTCGCCAACCAGTAGAATATATACAGCGGAATATAATAAAAGCCAAAAAAAGCATCCGCACAGCCTGTAGAGCTGACACACACGTTTTCCCACAAAGGAGCACCCCTCTGCAGTCTGGTGTGTACCTGTCCCAGCGTTAGCTCCACCCCTCCCAGGTAGTCATCATCGCCGAGGTCAGCGCTCGAGTTGTCGATGTCGTAGACGCCCAGCTTCAGATTCTGCACCGTCTCGAAGTGGTAATCCACCCGGAGGCGCTGACTGAAGGACGGACTGGAGGAGTTCTTCAAGCGCTCCGTACGAGCCAGCTGGGCGGGAGGCAGACAGACAGGGTTTGTTTCTGCTGTGAACTCAAATGATCAGACGACCCCGTCAGAGAGCGGTCGGTGCATGCGTGTTACCTCGGTCCAGTTGTCCTTCCCCGAGCTCTGCAGCAGCACACACAGAGGGTCCGACTTGGAACCGACATCTTTATCCAGCAGGTCGGTGCAGGAGATGCTCAGCTCCACTTTAGTGAGACAGTCCCCCTTCTCAGGGGGGGGGGGGGGGGGGGGGGGGGGCAGAGACACCAGAATATAATCAGCATTGACGTTTGATGAACTGTCTCTCGCTGAGTGTAAATTAAACGTCTTTGGGCTGTAACGTGTGCACCGCCATTCAATAAATATTTAAACCAAGAACTACACCCACGGAGCTCCACCGCCATCTCACCACCGAATGCAAACAGTTTCTTTATCATCCATCTGTGTCATTTGCTTCACTGCAGCACAACCAAACCAGGCCTCAAACAGTCGACCGACTGGTTCCTCCAGGGCGTCTACACGTCCGGTTCTCACGCGCCTCCCTCCGGCGCTTGATGGAGATAACGCTGCAGGACGTTGTGTCTCCGCCGCATGCAAAGGTGGTGGCGGCCAGTCGGTCGACACAGACTGAACCTCGGCTCTGAGCCCTGCAAGGACCACGTGGGGGATAAGCCCTCATAAGGAGACGTGGTCTCACAATGACGCAAGTTGAATACAGGATGTTGATTAAAATCACTCAAGGTTCTTATAGCTACAGACCAGCTGTCAGAAGAACCCATGTACATTGACTCAGGTTAAAAGTACAACTTTGAGCTCCATTTCTTACTATCCTATCAATATGTGTATGTATGTATGTATGTATGTGTACCATATTTCAGAGGTAAATAAACAGGATTCGTTGCCTACTGTTACTTGTAATATTCTAGGAAACTGACTTGAATAGTTGAACCACCAGTGACGTCATCAGAACACAGACAGCTTTAATGACGTACCTTCACCTCCACCACCTCCTGGGATCCTACAGGTAACCAGATTATCTAGCAGAGTTAAATAGCGTTAAACCTTCGGAGCTGATGATGAATCCGTTTTATTCTCAAACGCAATGAGGTGAGCGAGCAGCACGTGAAGGCAACACCAGTATGAGCGTGAATGGAGGAGAGGTTCCCTCAGGCAGTAAAACCGGTAGGCCCGTTTCAAAGAACACACACACACACACACACACACACACACACACACACACACACACACACACACACACACACACACACACACACACACACACGATTCCTTTTAGCTCTATCACACAGAGACACACACGCGCGCGCATTGTGTCAATACAAACTTTTTAAAATCACCTTATCAGGGCCGCTCTATATTAACTTCTTCAAACCACAGGAACGAACAGCAGGGCGGAACAGGAAACGAGACCTTCTTTGTCAGTCAGAGGAAACGCAGCTGAGAGAACACGTACCGTTACCCGAACACTCGGTTAGACTTTTTACAAAAGGTTCTCCACAGAACTCCGGCTGTATCTGCGGCAGAAAACCAGCCGTTGGTTTCCGATCGGCGGACTCGTCCGGCAGGGAGCGGCTCACAGGCATGCCGCGCTCTGATTGGATAGGCAGCCACAACGCTGCTTGCTCATTGGATGTAGTGGCTGTCAGTTACACCCTCTGGGTTCTGCCGCTGACGGTTGCCCGCAGCACAACAAGAGTAACTTCCGATCAAGCCCCTTCAGAATAAGATACGCACCAGCGAATTCTTTCAAATCCTCCCATTCAGCAAGAATGGCTGTGATTAATTTAGTAAGCGCTTTACTCCTGTTGACGGTTACCAGGGTTCATTCGACAGAGGCTGGAATGCGTTTTACTAAGTTCTGAAATACAATGCAGGTTGCCACAAAACCAAAAGGTCGGAACTTTAGCAACACTCGCAGGAAAAATAACAACTTTTTCCTACTCCATGCACCTTGGCGTCAGGGGATTCTGGGGCAGAAATGTCTGTCCCCCTTCCATTAAGCCACCAACAGAAAAAGAATAGCTAAAAACAAAGTCACAAATGGTCAAAAGAAAATAGGAAAATGACACGTCCATGGTCCCTCCATTGATATTGTCTAAAAAAGTTTCTCTCCAGTTCAAAAGACAAAATATTGATGATACAAAACAAATACATTAATAGTGCAGCGTTTAATTTATAAACTGCTTTGGCTGGATAATCATCAGCATATTAAGTGTCGCCTTTACACTAAGAATTGTCATTGAACAAATTGTGTATCTTGATGGCAGCAGTACTAATGCTTTCACTTGATGATGATAAACTGATGATTTATGGCCATGATGACTACTGATAACGTCTTTCAAGACTGATTTAAAAAAATAATAATAAATTGTGCTTTTATGTTGAAGATGCAGACACTCAAGCCGGAAGTACTGTTGCAGACGCACTTCATCTGACAAATGGCTGCGCTGAGATGGTCAGTGAGAAACATTCCTGAAGTATAATTGAGAGCAGTAAAACAGCCCTTTCGCACCCACTCACAGAGAACAACACAGCTTCACTTTATTTGTCCTTTGCAGCAGAAATAACCATGAAGTCAGAAAAGGCAGCAGAGCGTCACGTCACTGATGAGAAACAGAACACGAAAGACCAAGAGACAACGCACAGTCATTCCTGTCAATCACATCCACACGCTCCATCCTCAACCATCTCTGTCATCATCATATCATTCCCATCCGCTATTGATTCACCTTCCTGGAAAGAAAACTGCCCATAACGTCACACAGCTTAAATGAAGAGCCGACACCAGCCTCCACACAAAACACTGTGATCTGATGTTGGCAGACTCATGAATGCTGTTCAATTCTAATAATATGATTTCATTGTCATTATATGGCATGACTATACATTATAAATTAATATTGTCAAATTATCTTATTCTTCATGCAGTTTCGTTGCAAAAACAGACGTCAGGATTATAATTTATTTCTTTAGCCAAACTAGAGATCTGAACTGATTGAGTGCTCGTACCAGTAACGGCACTAAAACTACAGTATAGTCAGAAGAACAGTTTTATAGACCTATTAGTTTATAAGATGTGCTGGAAAATAGAGAATTGACCTCTGGTGCCACCTTCTACGATCTGAAGATAACTATATGTAACCTGTAGGTCACATCTATCTAAATGCCAAAATGAACAGACCAAGCTTTCTATCTAAAGACTACCATCCACAAGCCACCATCTGCAGACTATCTATTATCTAAAGACTACCAAAATATATTATCTAAGCGTGAACATCTATAGGCCACCACCTCCCTTTTACAAGCCACCACCTACCATCTTCACTATCTCCTACCCTCAACAAGCCACCAGCCTGCATTCTTCATGAATGTGCCACCACCGCCTACCTTCTACATGCCAACATCTACCCCCTACAAGCCACTGCCTACCTTCTACATTCCACCATACGCCCCCTACAAGCCACCACCTACCTTCTACATGCCTACATCTACCCCCTACATGCCACCGCCTACCTTCTACATGCCACCATACGTCCCCTACAAGCCACCACCTACCTTCTACATGCCACCATACGTCCCCTACAAGCCACCGCCTACCTTCTACATGCCACCATACGTCCCCTACAAGCCACCACCTACCTTCTACATGCCACCATACGTCCCCTACAAGCCACCGCCTACCTTCTACATGCCACCATACGTCCCCTACAAGCCACCACCTACCTTCTACATGCCTACATCTATCCCCTACAAGCCACGGCCTAGCTTCTACATGCCACCATCTATTCCCTACACAAGTTATCATCTGCAGGTTACATAGACCGTATATAGACCAATATCTCCTCTACAGGTGAGATAATATATCCTAAAAATGACCATTTACGGGCCACCATTTGTCATCTACCCTGTACAGGCCACTGCCTACCCCCATAGGGGGTATGCTGAAATGCTTTCATGTACAGGCCATCGTCTACCATGTAGAGGGCACTAGTTATATTATATGAATAATACCATCTACATGCCACCAGTTATCAAAACACTACATTTAACAGATCACCATTTACTACCCAAACTATATCTCCAGAATGCAATCACCTATGGAACTCTACCTAGCACCTGATGCTACCAAGGATTAAATTATAAATAAACTTCATCCTCTTTGGTCACTCAATGTGAATCTAAAACTGTACAGACTGTGGCAATAAATGTCCATTTAATAGACTATAATGGACCTCTCCATGGCAGTCATTTCTCGCGTTTTAAATGGAGCGTCTTAGCATCCGTTACTCACCTGCAAGTCCTGCCTTCTGATTGTCTATTGAACAACTGGAGAGGGAGAGAAAATTGAATGCTTCATTGCGCGGTGTCACTACACCTGTACCAAACCCCACCCACACAAACACCGTTCAGACTTACGTCCTCCATCCACATGCCAAATCAGGGTTTTTTTCCATTCCAATGTATATTTTTCACACAACAGGTCCACAACAACCAATACCAGACAGTATTTGAGTTCACTTTATTAAAAACAGTTTAGTCAATTCTCTCTCCCCCCCTACACCCACAACATTGGACTCGTTGAGGTCAACCACTACCTGCAATTAGAATACAGGTAGCACACTCGTCAGTCAAAACTTCAATTGAAGCTTCATGTTCGTTATGTTCAGAATATTTCACAGGAAACACTGCATGGGATAAACTTGAATAAGTGAAGATATATTTTTTAATCCGTAACATGAAGCACATCATGCTGCCGTGGCTCATAATCTAGGCCATCAATGTTGAAATCAGAATGTAATGGGTTGTTTAATGTAAGGATTGCCTCTAATATGAGACTTAATAGATTTTTTTAGAGGAAATTAAATCATTCATTTGATTTACTTTTACATTCACTTGCAGTACTTCTGCGTTTACCTCACTATACTTTTCACAATACTGCCTTTGATTCACACGCCTGCAAAGGAACCACAAACCAAGTGGGGGAGAAGGATTTCAGTTTCTCTGGAATAAGGTCACAAAACTAAATCATATTGTTATTGCAAGAGATCTAAAAAAAATAATAAATTAGCATCTTTGAAGCTCTGGGTTGTAGCATGCTGAATATGGAGTAATTTTAAGTACCTTGTATTGCATTGAAGCGTTCGATGAGAAGAAATCCAACCCTGACCTGCATTCAAGTTTTACACCCTAAAGAAATTATTTTACCCAAATGAATCATTGATCCAATAGGTTTCCATCAGACAGTGAAGAGCAAACAGTCAGAGAAAGCTGATCGCAGGAGTGTCAGCAACGTCCTTTTATTAGCCAAAGCAAAGGTGACTCCACATCGTGTATGGTTATACGATCTTACAGGTTTGTTCACACTGACAATAAAAACAAAAATGAATTTTAAAAAGGTGGAAACATCCAAAATCATACATACAACAAAAGGCTACCAAACTAAAAATCTCTACTGCTTTCACCTCAACACTCAGTCAAAACACCTATCGAGCATGTGCTGCTGGAGTGCGGAGGGGTGGGGGGTAAGAAGGTGTCGCGTTCAAAACACAGCAACATCAGAAAAATAGGACAGAGGAAAAAGGATTCAGCGGCCAAAAGTACTTATTTACAAAATAAAATATGTCAGCAATGTATCCCACACCCTCTGTACAGCCCAATGGCGCAACTCAGAATTGTGTCAACAGATCACCAAAGCCACAGAATTGTTGTTGGTATACTTTTTTTTACCAAAGCAACGGGGCATGTCAACATATCACCATAGCAACAGAGCAAATACATTTGATCAAGCAACAGAGAATGTGAAGACTTTATCATAGCAACAGGGAACCACACACTGTGGTAGTAAAGCTTTTCTTCATCATCATCATCATCAGGAATTACCATGGCAACACGTTTTGACCATGGCAACACAGCATAAACAACTCATCAAAGCAACAGACTGGCTTACTATCATCATTTTACAATAGCAACAGAGCATGTGAAGATTTGACAATGGCAACATATTTTACCATATCAACATAGCAAAGAAATTATAGCAACATACTGTGGCTTTTTATCATCATTTTACGATAGCAACAAACATGTTAAGGCATTACCATTAGAGGTATTACCCTTAGGGGAAAAGCAGATTTAAGCAACAACAATGTTTGTCAACCTCATTATGATCATGGTGTTACCATAACCCAACAGGTGAATATGTTCAGTGTGTCAACTGTGGACATGACTGCATTGGAAACATGGTAAAGGACCAAAACCCTGCCAACATTAACATCATTTATCATCGTTGTGCCACAAGAGTCAGTGGACAAGCTGCAGAAAGTCCAGATCAAAGTCTTCCCAATGGGGTACACATGAGGGGTTGGGGTTCTATCGTAACTACACACAGGGGAAGGAGCTTCAGTGATTAACAATCAACAGGGCATGGCCTCAACTGAGTTGTTGTTGGGTTTGACCCCATAATCTTGAATGTATTATGTTGGTTTAATTCAATCTCCAGGTAGGTGTAACACGTTGTTTAGTTCAGACAGTCTGTGTTGGGCCGGGCTTTAACCCAAGCTTATCTTGACCTTACGTGCTCCAATAGGTCGGTCATTAAGGTCCATAACAGCAGCAGTGGCCTCGTCGTGGTTTTGGAAAGCAACCATTGCTTCACCTGTTGGCAGGCCTTTCTCACTGAACTGCAGGCAGACTGAGCCTGGCAGCACCTGGTAGCCATAGAAGAAGTCCATGATCTCGTCGACAGTAACAGTGAACGGCATGTTCTGCAGCTTTACAATCGTCGGGCCAGGAGCCCCACGTTGACTGTTGGGATTGTTAGGTCCTCCAGGGGCTGGCTGGTTACGGAGTCCTTCAGATCCTGGAGTGAACACCTGCTGACCACCAGTGGCTCCGCCCCCTGGACGTACTTGGTTGTTGTTAGCCCCTCCCCCTCTGGTCTGTCCCCCACCTCCTTTTCTGTTTGCATTGTCAAAGGACACCAACCCTCTCAGCGCATCGTGGCTGAATGGAGCTCCTCCTCCTGCTCCGGGCCGAAAGCCTGGTGGCTCCAGGATTGGTGCCCCAGGAAGACCGGAAACTAACGGAGGCGCCACGCCCAGATTCACTTCTCCCAGCCCTGCTGCCAAAGGAGGCAGAGGAGGAGGGCCTCCTAGCCCATTCCCAGGGGCTGAGAATGGAGTCACAAAGGGGGAATTATTGAGGTTCCCCATGGTATTTCGGAGAAAGTTAAATTCCTCCCCACTAATTCCTGCAAATGGGTTGATCTGGGGTTGCTGGGGACTGGGCTGGGCTTGCTGGTGCTGGTTCTGGTTTGAGCCCTGCTGGCTCTGGTTGCGTTGGCCTCTCTTGTTCTGAGGAGGAGGATTCCTCTCAATTTCCTTCATCTGATCAAAGGTCGCCAGGTGGACAAATGCATCACGGCCATTTAGTTTTTGGCGGTGCAGTCTTTCAGCCTTGCGGGCGTCTTCCTCGGTGCGCAGCTGAAAGATAGCTTGCCCTAAACCGTTACCATGACTATCTGTTAGGACCTTAAGGGTGTCCTCGTAAATCCCCACACCTTCCAGAAAGGTGCGGACATCCTTCTTGGAGACATTGTAAGGGATGTTGGTAATGTGGGCACAGTTCCTGGGAACTTTCAAGCCATCCTGGTTCTTGCCATCACCCAGCGACGATTCACGCTTGCGAATGGTGTCTATTTTTTCAAGCATTCCCTTACGGGCGATTGGGTGGACTTGGATGAAGCGGGTGCCCATATACTGCATGTGAGCACCCAGAGCAGTCTTGTAGTCTTGTTCCGTTCTAAACTCA